TCCCCATCCCCATCCTCATCCCCATCCTCATCCCCATCCTCATTCTCATCCTCATCCCCATCCTCATCCTCATCCTCGTCCCCATCCTCATCCTCATTCTCATCCCCATCCCCATCCTCATCCTCATCCTCATCCTCATCCTCATCCCCATCCTCATCCTCATCTTCATCCTCATCCCCATCCCCATCCTCATCCTCATCCTCATCCTCATCCTCATCCCCATCCTCATCCCCATCCCCATCCTCATCCTCATCCCCATCCTCATCTTCATCCCCATCGTCCCGCAGATCTTTTAATTATTCGCATGTAATTACTAAGACGTGCGTTGGCGTCGGAAGCGGGTTTAAAGTTTCTCTGAGCAGGATGTGCAGAGTGTTTGCTGAGCTGCTCAGTATTATCTAGCATCGTGCAGCTTGGAAGGCAAACAAATTACGAGAGAAAACCTGATGTTCTCGCTGCAGATGGTTCGGCAATGTCGTGTTTGAGCGAAACTTCTTTTTTTTTATCTTGCCGCGCCATACTTATTGAGCTGTGAATTACCTGTGTGAGTGCGCATGCGCGCGTTTCCGTGCGCCTGCTAGTGTACATTACTGCGCGCGAGTCTTTGATGTATGCGTGCACGCACACGTGTGAGCACACACATGGGTACTTGTACACACGTTACTGCGCCAATTACATTACGTTATATGGCACTAATATATCCACTAATTGGCTAGGAAGCACGGACCACAGTCAACGGCGAAATAGTAATATATGTTTAAGGTAAAGTCAGTAAGAAGTGTAGGTTTTTTAGGATTACCACTTGCTACGTTTGCGCCCATGCAGATGTGCCCGGGCACCTGGCATAATATTTAGAATGTCGTTATAGTTTTCCCGAATCAAATTTGTGGCCATATATAATGGTAACATTTCACGAAATTCCCCTTGTATTGTTTGAAACGTTAACTTTTTTGATTTACAGCATTTAGGACGTGGGTTTAGAAGACGACCCTCACTGTAATTGTTGTTAAAATCTGTATTTGTAATTGTAATTGTAAACGTGGCTGTTAATCTAAATATAAATGTAATTGTATTGTACAACTGTATTTGTTTAATCAACACGCCCGCAGTATGTTAAGCTCATGCATCCGCTATAAAGTTTTTCTCGCGTAAAGCTATAAGCACTTGAAACCATGTTACACCGCGTGTGAACGACCCACTTCGTGTGTTTTTAATCCACGAAAGGCTTATTCGAAAAACGGTTTAATGAAAAGCTTCTTTGTGTGGCGTGTGAGCCACCCGCTACCGGACCTGTCGTGTGGTTATTGCATTAATTCTCCGTGTGCGTGTGCGCTAGTTGTTTTTATCGCTCGCATCGCACCCCCGGTGTCAGTCAGAGTGCAAACCTGCGTACTGTTGATTCCGATGTGGTTTATTCTCAGTTACCTACGTTAGATCTGTCCGCTAAAGGAGTCTATTCTCAACCCACTGTTACGTGCTACGTGTTGCGTTATGTGTTACGCGTTGCGTTACATATTACGTGTTGCATTACGTGTTATGTGTTGCGTTACGTGGTACTTTACGTGTTACGTATTGCGTTACGTGTTATGTCTTGCCTTATGTGTTACGTGTTACGTTACATGGTACGTGTTACATAATTACGTGTTGCGTGTTGCGTTACGTGTTACTCAAAGCGTTACGTGTTACGTTACGTGTTACGTGTTACGTTACGTGTTTCGTGTTGCGTGTTGCGTTACGTGTTACGTGTTACGTGTTACGTGTTGCGTTACGTGTTACGTGTTACGTGTTGCTTTACGTGTTACGTGTTGCGTGTTGCGTTACGTGTTGCGTTACTTGTTACGTGTAATGGTACGTGTTACGCGTTGCGTTACGTGCGTGCGTGCACGTGCGTGTGCGCGCGTGTGCGTGCGTGTACGTACACGTGCGTGCGTGTACGTGCGTGTGCGTACGCGTGCGTGCTTGTGTGCGTGTGTGCGTACGCGTGCGTGCGTGTACGTGCGTGTACGTGCGTGTACGTGCGTGTACGTGCGTGTACGTGCGTGTGCGCGCGTGTGCGTGCGTGTACGTGCGTGTATGTACGCGTGCGTGCTTGTACGTGCGTGTGCGTACGTGTGCGTGCTTGTACGTGCGTGTGCGTACGCGTGCGTGCTTGTACGTGCGTGTGCGCGCGTGTGCGTGCGTGTACGTGCGTGTGCGTACGCGTGCGTGCTTGTGTGCGGTAACACACTGCTCATTACAGCGTGTATGATGTCGTTGTTTCTTTTCTATTTAGGAGGTCGGATGTGACGACATTATAGGCTCGGGCATGCGCTATGACTACTGCGGGGTCTGCGGTGGCTTCAACACTACCTGCCAGATCATATCCGGTATATACACGCAGCGCAACCTACCGGTGGGTTACAACAACATCGCAGCCATCCCGAAAGGAGCGTGCAACATCAGCATTCAAGAGATGTATCCAAGCGAGAATTACTTAGGTACAGCTATACGAATACTGAATTATGTAGTAGGTACTAGGTACTATACATTACAGGGAGTTACAATAACTCTATAACAATAAATATTCGCCAAAGCACGCGATAGGGATTTATAGTGGTGGTATATGTTATGGTTTTATATGTTATTATTTATTATGGTGATAATTTCGCCAACTATTATTTTTCTTCAATTTTTTTATTTCAATTTCATTTCTTAAATCGTAATATTACTCGTGCGTGCGCACATTCTACGGTAAATATCCGTGTGCAGAATAAGCCACCCACCCACACAACGCGCGCACGCACGCTTTCACATACACGCACGCACACACTCACACACATACACACGTACCCCCCCCCCCCCACACACACACGCACACACACACACACACACACACTCACACACAACACACACACACACACACACACACACACACACACACACACACACACACTCTCTCTCTCACTCACAGACACACACACGCGCGCGCGCGCGCAGC